TTTTTGTGTTCCCAGCCCCTCACCAGCCTCGTTGCCCTCCTCAATCACCACCAGAGAAGCATCCCTGAATGCTTTCCAGGAGAAATTATGATTGGTTTGGAACAGTAAATTTCTCTGACTTTGAAGCTGACTCCCATCCCAGAAGGTGACAAAAGCACATCTCATCCTACCAGGGTGACTCCCAAACCCCGCTGTCACCTCTGCAGGATTTACACGGAGATTTAAAAGTTTATCAAGATTTAAAAAGGCTTTTCCCAGGTGCAACACTGACCCTGGCCAGGTCTGAGGCTGGGGCAGGGATTGGGGTGGGTCAGGATGTGGGTGGGCTGGGACAGGAGCCGTGTGGATTTTTGGTTGGCACTGGAGCACGGGAGGATGGAGGTGATGAATGTGTCCTGCCTGCAGCTTCCTGCCCTGCTCCCTCCTCTCCTGCTTCATCTCCAGGTCTCCTTGGGAGGACAAACTGTACAGAAACATCCTTTGGGAGTGCCAGCACTCGGCATCCAGCCCTCCATCAGCTGCAAGAAAGATCTTTTGGCACCTCTCCACGTCGGACACTGCGCCTTTCCCAGGGAGATCCAAACAGGGAAGCACACAGGGAAGGAGGTGACTGCAGGGGACTCAGTTTGGGGACACAAAAAAGGCTGGGAGTGCCTCAGCTGTGCACTTCCCATCCCTGGAAGTGTCCAAGGCCAGGTTGGACAAGGCTTGGAGCAACTTGGGATAGTGGAAGGCACCCCTTACCATGGCAGGGGGTGGGAATGGGATGGGCTTCAAGGTTGTTTCCACCCCAAACCAGTCTGGGATTCTGGGATTCTGGGATTCTGGGAATCCATGGTGTCCCCAGACCCCTGGAGGGTCATGCCAGGCTGCCCTTTGCTGCAGGGGAGCAGTTTTGGTCCTTCAGGACACCCCACACTGATGCAGGACAGCACTGGTTTCCCCTGGGGGTGATGCCCCAGGACCAGCCCTGGCTTTGGAGATGGAGGAGCTGCACCTCAAGCTGTGTTTGGTAGATCACAGAACCATGGAGCCTCCTGAGCTGGAAGGAACCCACCAGGATCACTGATCCAGCTCCTGGCCCTGCCCAGACACCCCAAATCCCACCCTGTGCATGCCTGGGAGCGTTGTCCAAACTCTCCTGGAGCTCTGCCAGCCTTGGGGCTGTGTCCATTCCTTGGGGAGCCTGGGCAGTGCCCAGCACCCTCTGGGGGAAGAACTCTTCCCTGCTACCCAGCCTTTCAAACAACCAACCCAAAGGATTTCAGGGGATCCTGCCTGGCTGTGATCACAGTTTCCCCACAGTTTTCCCACCCACAGCTCTCCCCCTCCTCACCACATGGTAACTGAGCTCTCCACGAATCTTTCCGAGCAGAGGGCACTTAAAAGGTAAAAAAAAAAGCCCTGAATATCTTGACATTTAATTAAAGAGATGTGAGTGGCTCATGGGGGATGCAGAGTGCACAGCACCAAGCCAGGAGATGCCCTTGAAGGAGCCTGGATGTGCTGGGCTTGGGAGCAGGGGGAGGAGGATGGGAAACCCATTTCAATTAAGATGCTGAGGCATGAAAGCCCTCTTGGCCTCCTTCCTCTTCGCACTAATGACCCTGGATTCCCCTCCTCCATCCCAGGTGGCTGCTGGGAGGTTGTGGCACCGCAGATCCTTGGGAGAGAGGCAGGAGGAGAGGGATGGTGCCTGCCTGTGGCAGGGGTGTGGAACCCCACCGTCTTTAAGGTCTTTTCCAAGCCAGACAAGTCTGTGATTCTGGGATGGGTTCCCTGGTGGAGGACCAGCTTTGTTCTTTGGTGGTCCTGATGCCAGGCAGTCAATGTAGGAATGACCATCCCCAATCTGGGGTTTGCTCCAGGGCTTGTGTTTTCAGGGAAAACCCCACAAATGTGGGGTTGTTTTTTCCTTTTTGTCACCTCCTGCAGGTAAACTCGGAGTAGGAAAAGCACCTCTACCCTTATTGAGAAGGAAAGGTTGTGGCAAACCGTCCCTTTAATGTATTTCTTGCTGGATTCAGGACAGCCCATTGGGGTGAGGCTGGCAGGTGCTTCAGCATCCTTCCCCCAGCTCCTGAGCTGAGAGGAGAAAGGAGGAGCAGCTCCCAGAGACATGAAACCACAGCCCTGGACCTGCCTGACCCCTCTGACAGCAGCACTCCCTGCTTCTGCACCAGCTGGGGTGGGTTTTGCAGGTGCCAGGTTGTGGGAATCCAGGGCTTCCCTCTGGCTGCCCTGGGACCCTGGCAGGGGTCAGGAACCCCCCTGGACAGAGCCCCCAGAGACACTGGCTGTGATCTCTGTCCATGGAAAAGAGTTTTCAATCTTACAAAATTAATTACAAGCTCTAAGTATTTAATATAAGTAATAATTAAGTATAGCACAAGTGCAAAAATAAAATTTTAAAATTCTAAATTAAAAGTTCAAAAGAAACAAAATAAAAAAAATTAAGTGTGTTTTGTCCTTTTTCTCCTTCTTCATACCCTCCATGTTTCACTATAGTGTTAGCATTTTTCTATTAGTTTAAGCTAAAAACACACTACTCAACATAAATAATAAATATTAACACAGTATTATAAATATAACCCACATAATTTCTAATATATCATGTTTGTCAGATCCCACTAAAGAGCAGAGCCCCACACGCTGCCCTGCAAAACAAACCTACAGCAGGGCAGCAAAACATATTATAAACAAGCAAACATAAACAACCTTAAAAACCAACACAAACAAATTATGACTTCTTCTTTAGCAACAGAACAGAAAGACAGAGACTTTTTACAATGTCAGAATCATCAATACCACAGATTCTGACAATTATAATCCTTCAAAGGCCCCGTTTTCTCAGGAATTGCTGATGTTCCCCATCAGTGCTGGGTGCAACCCTGGAAGAAAAGGGGGCGAGCTGCCTTGGATGTGTCTCTGGTTTGGTCCCAGGGTCAGATGAGGTGACACTGGAGGTGGGATCCTGCTGGATCAGGCCCTCCCCGAGCTCCAGCAGGATTTCAGCAGAGCTTCTGCCAGGCTTTTAATAGTGGACTCCTTCCCCCAGCCGCCCCCGAGCATGGCACGTGCAGATCATCAGCTCAAAGCCTGGTGTGGGCAGGCAGCCCACGGTTGTTTCTCTAAATAAACCTTCCCCTCCTTGGCTGACTCTCCATCTCCCTGCAACGGGATGGATTTTATTCCTTGGGTTGGGAGCGGGGCCTGGGAGGCCTCTGGAGCTTCCTCAGCACCAGCCTGGCTCCCTGCAAGGGACCTGCAGCTCCTCGCTGGCCCTGGAGTCATCTCCTGCCTCTTCCCCACTGCCAGGGAAATGCAGTGGGGACACAGCGTGCCCTGACAAATGCTGGAAGATGAGAAAACTCTTGATCAGGCAAAATGTTGCCATGGGGCTCTGATAAAGCGAGAAATGCCCCGAGGCTGCGAGTTACCAGCACGATGCTGCTCCCAAATTCTCTTTGGCAGTGGCTGGACCCCCCCCAGCCCCCCAAAAACCCAGGGCAAGGAAGGTGTGAGCAGCCAGAGGATGCTGGGGGGATCCCCTCAGCACAGGGATCCTGGTGCCAGCAACACTGAGGCAATTTGCTGCCTGAGCCCAGCTCCAGAATGAGATCTGTCATGCTTGGCTTGACCTGTTGGCCGAATCATCATTACATGGGGAATGTTATTTTTTTTTTATTTTCAGCTGTGTAAAAACACGGGAATGGGGGAGGAGGGAGAGGGACGGTGCCAGGCTGTGTCCTCTCCTCTCCTCACGTGTCCCTCACCGTGCTCAGGCCACATGGAACATGTGGGACCTGGTGGAGCATCAGGAAGAGCTTTAAGGAGGGGGTTGCTGCAGCCCCTCGTGCCCCAGCCCAGCAGCTGGCCTGGATTTTGGGTGGGTCCCTGGTGCCCTGCAGGGACCAGGTTTTGCTCCTCCACCCCAGAACCATCTGGAGCTGTTTCCTTGAGGAGGCACAATCCGATCCCCCCACTCTGGTCTCCCTGCCGTGCGTTTCTTACAGTTCCTCGTGCCAAAATCATGCATTCCATGGGCTCAGAGGGCAGAGTGAGCACAAGGAATGACTCATTTAGGGGAAGGGAGGGCAGACCAGAGTCACCTTTGCCTTCATGTCTTCACCCAGTGCTGGCATGGGAGCAGCACAGGGCTGGGCAGCAGCAGTGCCCCCATTCCAGCCTCTTCCAGGCAGGGATGGGTCAAGGACTGAGACAACCCAGCCCCTGCTAAGAAAACTCCTGCAAAAGCACTGCAACCATCTGGCTCAAGCCAAACCTGTGCCCAGCGTTTCCCAGAGGAGAAGGACAGAGAAATACCAACAACAGCTCTCCCCAGAGCCCTTTGCTCAGGATTTCTGGCCCAGCTGGGGACGTCAGGAGTTATTTATGGGCTGTGTCTTTTTTAGCCTGCTGTGATCAATAGGTGTGACCCATCACACAATCCAATACCAGAGCAGCAGTGAGAGCTGGAGAGAAAAGATTTTCCTCTCTGTGGTCATAATGCCACATAATGCCACCCAGCTGTCCTTCAAAGAGAGGGAGAAACAGTCAATCCCTCCAAGCTGAAAAGAAAAGCTGGGATTGTCCTCCTTTTATTCCCATGGGTTTCCAACAAGCCACCTTCAGGTGCTTCAATGGACTTCCAGATCCTGTCCTCATCACCTGGTAAAAATAATCCTGTGGGAAGATAACAATGGATCCAGCAAGGCTGTGTTGAAGTGGGAGAAGCTGGAACACATCTGTGCTGCTGAAGCCCTGGATTTACCCTGCCATGGCTCTGGCATCCCTGACCTCCAGCTCTTCCTTGGATCAGCAAATTCCTTCCAGCCAGCAGTAGCAGGAGATGGTAATTTGGGGAGTTATCCACATTTTTTTGTTCTCAAAGAGGTGTAGACAGCCTGGATCTTGGAAAAGGGCTGTCCTGAGGGCAGGGTGCTGCTCCTGGTCTGTATTTGTGGCTAAAAGTGACCTCCCAAGAGTGAGATCATGGAGCAGCTGTCAGAGGATCTGCTCCCAAGAGGGTCAGGTTTCCCAAAAAAGGGCCCTCACCAAGCACTCACAGCTCTCTGGGCCCCAGCCTGGGTCTCAGCAAACACCTTCACCTGCCCACCCCATTCCTTGGCTCAAGCTCTGCCATCCCAGTGTCTCATTCCCAGTGCTTTTACCAAGATTCTAGAGGTTTCTCCCCCATGGCTTCCTGCCCTTCTTTCCTGACATCCACAGGGTGTTGCTGGAGTCCTCAGGACCCATGTTTTCAGGCAACCTCCTGGTGTTGTTCTGCACCAAGCTCCAGGCCGTGAAGAATTTATCACCCAAATACGTGAGGAAGGCAAATGTCAGGTACAGGGAGCTGATGGCTGGAACAGGGAAATGGAATTAAGCAGGATTTTGGCCAGAAAAGATCTTTGGGATAAAATCCTAGCAGCACATGCTGAAGGCCACCAGAGAACCCCTCTTACCCCTTCTGATGGGGATGCTGAGCTCCCCAAATGAGAGGATGGTCACTGCAAACCACTCCCCAGACAGAAAATGCTCTCCATGAGTGAAAACTGCCTTCTCCCTGCTTGGGTGCGTGATTGAAACCCCACAGGAGGAATTTGCATTCCAAAGCTCCATCACAGCTCTGATTTTTCTCCAAAAGCGGTAAAATTAGGAGCAGGGTTCCAACCTCGTGGTTCTCGCCCTCCTTTCCATGGTATCATCCTTGGCAGGACAGAATCCCTTTCTCTTTGCTGCAGTGGGGATGCACAGGCTCCTGCTCCCATCCCAGATGGCACAGCCAGGAGCAATGGCTCCGGATGGACATGTCACAGCAAAACCTCCTTTCTATTTATACAGCGCTTGTGACCTTCAGCTGCTGCTACCCCGCTCTGGACGCAGCAAAAACAGATTTTCAAACATCCTGGAGTTTGTTTCTGAGAGGTGTAGAGGTTCCTTGTGGTTTCCAAGGGGTCATGAAGTGCAAGAGATCCAGACCTTTCCAGAAAGTGGCTAATAGGCTGGTTTTTTTCTGTCTGTATCATCATTTCTGGGGTTAAACTTAGTATTTAAAAACACAGATGGGCTCAGTTTAAAGACTGGGAGAGGATCCAATTGTAAGTTGTCCAGCTGGTAGAACACCCTCACTGCTAAAAAACGGGTGAACTTGAGAATTCAGGCAGCTCCATCTTCCCATCCTTGCCTCTCCCGGTGCCTTTTCCCAGCTCCTCTGGCAAAGCCATGAAGACCCCAAAAGGTCTTCACAGCACAAATGGGGTCAGTTCATGAGCCACTCACCCCTTCCCCCCTATTGCACAAACCCATCCGACCTCTCTGCATCTCTGGCCACGAGTCAGCTTTCTCAGGCCATTAAAAATTTGGCATTTTCCTGAGCTCCTCCCATTTTTTCTTTGTTGCCTTGGAAGCGCAGGCACAGGAGGGGGATGCAGGACTGACCTTTGGTGGGATGTGGAGCTCTTGTGCCAGTACATCCCTCAGCCTCTTGGTCACCTTCATTCACAAATTGTGTGTGAATTCATCCCATTAATGGCAGGGAAACATCTTCTCTGGGCTCCAAGCCCAGCTTCTGCCCTTGGGCAGGAGAATGTGTCAGCCTCAGCTTTGACTTTGTGGTGTCCCAACACCAGGAGATGCCTTTAACCAAGGGATGTCCTCAGCTGCTGGTTTATGCTGGGGGTGTTTTTGGGGGGGGAAATGCAGGATGGGAATGAGGCAGGAGAACAAGAGTTCCTCCTAAGTCAGTAATTGAAGCTTGGGGGAAGCCTTGTATTCCAGATATGTGGGAAAAGCACTGCTGGGAGAGGAATTAATATAAAATTAATATTAAGCAAGTTAGGGTTGTTTTGGGGAGGGGAAAACACAGATGTGGGAGGGTCTGGGTGTTTATTGCATGTTCAATAAGGAGCTGTCACAGTCAGGAAAGAAATCCCAATTTTAAAGAGAGTGAAGGAGAATATCTGAAGATGAAATAAGTTTTGGGGGCTCACAAGGAGGGATTGGCTCTCTCTGCTTCAGCAGAGACTCAGGGTGCTGCTTCCACTAAAAAATGAGAGTATTTTCCCTCAAAGCCTGCTTGGCTCCCCTTGCCTGGCTCCATCCTGGGGGGAGCTGGGCAGTCAGTGCCCAGAAGGATGGGACACAGTGGGCACTGAGCAAACCAACCCCTGGGGATGGGACAGAGGGCTGCTCCCCTTCAGGGACCCCTTCTTTGCTTTCAGCAGAGAGAAAGCACTGAAGAGAGTGGTTTGGATCACGCCAGAGTCCTGCTGACTTTCAGAAGAACTCAGTTATTGATTTCTGGGACTGTGCTTCTCCCTGGAGGACTGGAAAAAGCCCAAGGCGGTTGCCAGGGATGCCTGTGACTCTGAGAACAGCCTTGTTCAACGGGGACATTTCCTGATGGAATTTGAGGCCAAGGTCATTCCCCCAGGCTGCTTTCCAGCAAGCAGACTGTGAGGGGCTGGAGGATCTGCCAGCCAAGGAAGCAGATCCCAAAAAAAGGTAGAAATCGGGATAATGATGTTTTCCCCCTGAAGCCTTTCTGTGGCAGAGAGGCAGAGATTTCCACCTGGCTGAAGTGGCTGATCTGGAGAGCCCAGAGCCCACGCTAAGGAGCTGGAAGATGTTCTTCTGCCACTCAGATGTGTGGGGAGAGGTGCTAAAATGACCCCAAAAATCAGTCCTCTCAGCAGGGGGGTCCACAGGAAAACTGGTTGTGGCTATCTGGCATGAGGATACGGACACGGATGTGCCTGGCACAGGGAGCTGAGGTGGCCCAAGCTCCATTTCCCACCTCAAATAGATGGAAACACTTGTCCTAGACTTGTCCTAGACCCTCAGAATCACTCAGGTTGGAAAAGACCTCCCAGATCAAGGCCAGCCTTTGACTGACTACCACCACACCCACTAAGACATATCCCCACATCTCGTTTTTTGAACACTTCTAGGGATGGCAACTCCACCACTTCCTGTGGAGCCTTTTCCAATGATTAACCACTCTTTCAGCGAGGAGATTTTTCCCAATATCCAACAAAAACCCCAACTCAATGAGGTTTTGACCTCAATCTCAAAACAGGCAGTGTTGTCTCCAGCAAGGGTCTCCACCAAGGTGATGCCAATGGAGACCCCATTCCATGTCTGCCTCCTCCTTGTAGGTGCCTCAGAGTCCTGGCTTGCAAGATAAGCGTGTATTCTATTGCCACTTGTTGGAGGTGGGGCAGTTTTCTTATCCCTCCCAAGAACAATGTCTCCCTCCGGGGAGATATCTTCTGTTAATGGGCCATTAATGACTCCCTGCATGATGGTAAAGTTACATCATCCCATGGTGAGATGCTCCACCCAGAGGGAGGAGCCAAGCAGCCCTACCTGCATAAAATCAGCACTTTTTGAGCCACTGGCAGCCACTTCGCTGGATTCCCAGAGGAGCAGCTTCTTCTCTGCTGAATTCCCAGAGGAAGACCAGGCCCAGCTACTCCATCACCAGACCTTCAGAGAAAACTGCACTCTTCTAGAGATCACCACTTCAGCAGCATTTCATCTGCCACTCCAGGAGGAGCAGCCACCATTTAACTGGACTATTACCAACACCCTGACTCCTCAGGGTGTCAGGTTTCTGACTCCATCACTAGTTTCGTTTGTACTAACTACATTTTTTAAAAATTTTTTTAAATTTAGTTTTCTCCTAGTAAGGAACTGTTATTCCCATTCCCATATCTTTGCCTGAGAACCTTTTTTTAAATTGTGGTAATTCGGAGGGAGGGGGTTTACCTTTTCCATTTCACAGGAGGCCTTTGCCTTCCTTCACAGACTCTTGTCTTTTCAAACCAAGACACTCAGATACTCTGGGATACCTACAGAGCTCTCAGACACCACCTGGAAAACTGAACTGAGCTCAGACCAACACAGACAAGGAGCTGGGATTGCTGCTCACCTGGCACTGGTGTGGGCACCAGGGTGTGGTCAGCAGTACATCCTTGAGGATGACAGCCCCAGGAGTGGGCAGTCTGCTCCCAGAAATGTCCAGCACTGCAGTCTGAAAATCAGGGAATCAGAGAGTCACGAGATTAAAGATAATCACGTTCCAACCTGGGGCTTTCCACCTTTCACTAGCTCAGGTTGCTCCAAGCCCTGTCCAACCTGGCCTTGGGCACTTCCAGGGATCCAGAGGCAGCCACAGCTTCTCTGGGCACCCGCAGCCTCACAGGGAAGAATTCCTTCCCGACAGAACAGCCCTCAGTGCCCAGGTCTTGGGTGTCTTTAACAACAATCAGCCTCCCACTGACTCCAGGGTGATCCCAAGGATGTCCCACAGCCTCCAGGGCTGCAGACCCCTTGGAACACACTCACAAAGGAAAGGTCCCTGCTCTTTCCCCACTAAACCTGAACCCACAGAGGTGTAAAAGCCACCAAACCCGAGCTGTGCCTGCAGCTTGGCGTGATGGATGGCAGGGCTCAGCTGGGAGCTGTTTAATTTGGGTGAAAGACACTGTGTGGGAAGCAGCCCTGCCTGAGCTCCAAGGTGTGTAGGAGCCAGCTCGGTTTCATCTCAGCTGATTCTAGCAGCAGAGTGTTGCTTTGGAGAAAAGCGAAATGCCGGGAGCTGTGGAGGGGGATGGAGGTCAGGACAAATCTCTCCATTCACTTTTGCAGGGATGAGAGCAGCAGCGAAGATTTCAATGGGAATTTCTCTGTGGAAGGACTGTGACAGATCTGGGGTGGTGCTGAAAGAGGAGGTAACCTGGAGCGTGCCTGCCTTGGCCAGCTCACCAGGCTTGTAACCCTGGATCCTCACTTGGAGGAAGCCCTCAGGCTTCTTCCTAGCAAAGCCAGCAGGGTCCCTTCAGCATAAAATCACAGATTGGTTTGAGCTGCAAAAGTCTTTTAAAGGTCATTTAATCCCATCGCTGCCATGGCCAGGGACACCTTCTACTGTCCCAGGTTGCTCCAAGCCCTGTCCAGCCTGGCTTTGGACATTCCAGGGATCCAGGGGCAGCCACAGCTTCTCTGGGCCCCCTGTGCCAGGGCCTCTCCACCCACACAGGGAACAATTCCTCCCCAATATCCCACCTAACCCTCCCCTCTGGCAGTGGGAAGCCATTCCCCTTGTTCTGTCACTCCAGACCCTTGCCCGAAGCCCATCTCCAACATCAGCTCCTCAAATTCCTTTGGACTTTTAAAGAGAATTTTTGAGACAAAACCCCATACCCCAAATATTTCTTCTTCTTGACATGACGCCCCAAAGATCTCAATTTCCGGTCCTTCTCCTCAAAATCCAGCAAAACCATCAATATCCCCAAGAACTGCTCACAGACCTCTTGCATCTCCCCAATACTTGGAGAGACCTCCTTGCTCTCGAGCATGTTCAGCCTGCCATGATGAGACAGCCCTTGGCACTGGTATTTCGGAGCACCCCCAAACCATCTGCTCTCCTTTCATCCCTCTTCTGGGTCCCTGTGAGGAGGAGGAGGCTCCAGCTGAGAGAAAGGGACAGGCCGCCCACTTGTGCTGAGTAACCATTGCCAAACTGGATGCCAGCACACACACACACGCGCACACACAAATATTTCCACCAAGGTTGCTATGAACAATGGTCCCTTGATGATTTGCTGCCTCAAACACTTATGCCTTTGGCAGTGCTCCATGGGGAACAGGCAGTTCAGCCCTGACCCTCCCGCTCCTGGGCTGGCTCGTGGGCACCTCCACATCCATTGTCCCATGGGCAAGGAACAAGATGTGATCCCTGCCCTGGGGATTTGCAGGATGAAGGCTGGCACATGGGTAAGGGCAGAGCTGCGTCCTCATCGGTGCTGGGGAGAAAATTCCTCTGCTTCATCACTGCTGGGCCTTCACTGCCTGCTTGGAAAGCCTGACCACCTCCCTGGACACAACCCCGGTCTCACTTTGTTGTCATCTTCCCAAATTTACTTCAAACATCACCACGGTGTCTGCAGACCCATGGGAAGGAGTTAGGGGAATGTCCAGCCGAGGTTGGCCAACCCTTTTTTCCAAGGGGGTGACAGAGTAGTGACACCCTGAGCGACACCAGGGTCACATCCCGGTGATGTCCTACCTGAAAGGTGAACACCAGTGATGGAGGAAGCACTGGGAGATGTCTGAACCCAGGAAATGGGGTGAGCCGAGCAAAGTCCTGCTCGCACAAGGTGAGAACGTGCTCCCGCTTCAGGTAGTGGAGAAATCAGTGCTGGCTTCCCTAAAGCAAAGGGAAAAAAAGACTGAGGTTCTCAGAAGCAAAATGTTTGATCTGGTCATTATTTGTGAGACTCAGAGGTCTTTTTCCAGCCCTTGATTCTCTTCCCTGCTGGTTCCTGCATGCCTGGAGAGAGCTTCCCAGAGCCCCCATCCGTGCGCGGCGATCCCGGCTTTTGCACCGTCTACAAATAGTTGGTGCGTGCTGAAAAGAGCAGATCTGCAGCCACAGTTGGCAAATTGCACCAACAAGCATATTCCCAGCGAGGCATTGTTCCAGTTTGTATATGTCTGAAAAGAACTGTTCAGGCATATGTTAAAGTTGGCACCTTCTCCCGGGGACTCGCTGCAAGCTGACGGCTGGAGCGTGATCACCACAGCGAGGCACACAAAACACTCGGCAAATCAGGGAAAACAAAGTCCACTGGGGATGGCAGCAGGGCCAGGGTGAGGATGAGGAGTGGGGCAGAGTGCTGTCATCAGGAGAGAGAGCTCGTCCCACAGGGAATCTGCAGCTGCAAGCGCTTGGAGAGATTGGTGTAGAGGAGGAAGGTGAAAATCCTACAGCCCCGGGATAATCTTTATCAAAAGGTTCAGTGATTGGGATGGGAGGGAATGGGGGTGTCCTACAGGCTCTGGGCACCTTGCAGTGGGGATGGACTCACAGCACACTGAGGGTTCTCAGCTCCCAGGGATATCTGGACCTGGCAAAAACCTCTCCCTTGGAGGTGCTGGAGAATGCCAAGGGGAAATATTGAATTGTTTCAGTCTTCCTTGGGTGTCCGTGGGCAGCTGCAGCTGGGGACAGGATGCTGGGCTGGCCTGGTGGAACTGTAACACCCTCAGAGCATCTCTCCTTAGCAGGGCTGGGTAAACTTTTGGACTCAGAGGTCTTTGCCAACTGAAATGATTCTGGGATTCTGATTCTCAGCTACAAAACTGGACCTGCCCCAGCCTAGGCATGACCCAGTTTGGGGATGGGGACACATGCAGGCTCCCTGTTCGTCCCCTCAGGGTGTCCAGGAGCACTCCAGTGTCCCTTGCAGAGGGACAAAAATCTCCACAAGCTGCCTGTAGGACACCTCCTACCCTTGCATGACTCCCAAAAGAGGCTGCATTTCCAGGCTCAGAGCAGACCAGGCTGCCCAGGAAGGACAGGATAGACCCTCCCAGTGGTCCATGCAGGACTTAAATTGCTGCATTGCTGGGCAGTGCTGGTGGGAAGCAGCAGAATCCCACCCACAGCAGAGGTGGCTTTGCCCAGCCGGTCTAATCCCAGTCCTCAAAGGCTGTAAGTAAATCAGGGAGCCTCAGCTGCCCTTTCCATCCAAGCAGGATCACACACAGCCCCTGGAACACTGTCAGCAACAACCTGTGCAGGGAGATACTCACAGCCTGTGCTTCTGGGGGAGCAGCCGAGGGCCTGTCCGGCACTATTAGCAGGAATAATTAATTACCTGCCCTGCCGTTTCCCTGGAAAGCTGCAGAATTCAGTGGCAGCAATTCCTGCATCTTTCCTCCCTCCTGGGACTCCTGAGAGATGAGCAGGATGGGGCTAACCCCCATGGAAAGGCCGAGGGGAGAAGCAGAGTGTGTTGCAGGACCTGAACTGGGAGCAGGGACATCATGAGCTTTCCCTTTCCCTTTTCCTGCTGGCACCTCTCATTTCTCCTTGGAGAAGACAACTCGGTGCAGTGTCACAGCCAGGGGCTGCCCTGCCCTCGGCCCGTGGCCATTTGGATGTCCCTTTTTCAGTTCATCAGTGTAAGAGGGGATTTGGGGAGTTTCCCCACCCCCTGTGAGCTCGGCTCCTTGGGTTCTCCGTGGGATGGGAAAAATTATTTCCTCTCCCACACGGATTTTACATCCCCATCCCACCCCCACTGGAGACCCCCAGGCTGTGCCCCCTCCACCCCAAAGGGTTCTGCTCCTACAAGCAGGGGGAAATAGGGACCAAAATGGGATTTTCATGGTGGCTACAGGCAGACAGATTGGCTCCCACCACCCCCCAGCCTCGTCTGTCACCCAGGGGCTGCCCGTGCCCCTCAAACCCAGCCGTGCCCCCCAGACACCCCCTGCCCCACCGCCTGCAGCAATCTCAGGGCTCGGCTCTATTCGGGGGCTCTTTTTTGGGGGGCACGAGGGCGATGAGGCACGATGAGGATGCGGGGGGATGGAGCCGGGGTACCAGCAGACCCCAAACATCCCGGGGCGCTGTGGGGGAAGGCGGGGAAGGGGAGGGAGGCACAAGCAGCATCCCAGCATCCCCATCCAGGTCCGCGGGGACAGAGCCCTGTCCTGGGGGGGTGGCGAGGGAAGGGTTAAAGGGATGGAGAGCGGATCCTCCTCCATCCTCCCGCTCCTCGCTGTTAGGCTGCTGCTGTGACAGGGGGTGGGGTCGGGGCTGGCCGCCGTTTGCCGCAAGAAGGGGGGGGAAACGTGGCTGCGAATGTGTGTGTGTGTGTGTGTGTGTTGGTGACACAGGACAAAATGAGATGAGACCCCTCGGACGGGAGCGGCCGCCCGGCTGCCATCCCTGATCCCTGCCCGATCCCTGCTGCCATCCCTGCCGGGCACAGCATCCCCGCCAAGAGTAAGGATCGGGCTGGGAAGCGACTGGGAGGAACTGGGAAGCGGTGCTGGGAGAAAGGGGAGGTGGGATGGGGTGGGGGGTGACAGGGATGGGGGGGTCTCCTGGGTAGAGCGAGGTGGGGGACCTGATGCTGGAGCTTGGCGCGCCTGAACCACCCACCCAGATGTAATTTGGGGGGGGGTGGGGAGGATTTTGGGGAGGGGGTGGGGTGGAGGATGGGTTGCCAGCGCCGATTTCGGGTGTGATGGAGGGGAGGGAGCCGTGTTTGTGCCTAAAGTCGCAGCTGCCTGGATTTGGCCCCGCGGGGCCATTGGGATGTGACAGCACCCAAAAATAGAGTGCGAGGCGGGGAGGAGCGGCTGGGGGGGGGGTGTAGGGGGGGCAAGACTTGTGTGCCAGTGCCAGTGCCAGGTTATTCCCCCCCTCGTCACCTTTCCCTCGTCTTCTCTTCTTTATTTCTTTATTTCTTCGGCAGTGATGTCAGGGAGGGGAGCGGTGGCTGGGCTGGGGGTTGGATTCACGGCGAGGAGGTTTTGCTGGCGGCCGAGTGATTAACGTGCAGTTGCTGGGAATTATGGAATTATGTCATCTGCCTCGGTGCTGGGTGGCCCTCGCCCAGCAGCGGCGGTGGGGAGGGAGGGAGGACTTGGGGGGATGTCATGGCAAGGGGCTCCCCTTGAGGCTTCACCCCGGGAGCCACCGATGCCTCCCTCCCCGGCTTGGCGAGGACGTGGCTACCCAACCTTCCTCCCCACCCCGACACGGGGATCCCCGCTTGGGACATCACCCCGGGAGGCACCGGTGCTTCGGGGGCTTTGCAGGGATGGAGCGCCCACCGCGGTCCCCAGGCAGTGGGTGCACTCCCGGGGGTCCCTCTGGGCTGCAGGGCTCCATCCCCACCCAGCAGGACAGGAGCCCCCCATTGCTGCTCCCGGGGGTCCCTCCGGGCTGAAGGGCTCCATCCCCACCCAACAGGACAGGAGCCCCCCATTACTGCTCCTGGGGGTCCCTCCCGGCTGCAGGGCTCCATCCCGGCAGGACAGGAGCCCCCTGATGCTACTCCCGGGGGTCCCTCCCGGCTGCAGGGCTCCATCCCCACCTGGCCAGGAGCCCCCCGATGCTGCTCCCGGGGCTCCATCCCCACCCAGCAGGACAGGACCCCCTTGTTGCTGCTCCCGGGGGTCCATCCCCACCCAGCAGGACAGGACCCCCTTGTTGCTGCTCCCGGGGGTCCATCCCCACCCAGCAGGACAGGACCCCCTTGTTGCTGCTCCCGGGGCTCCATCCCCACCCAGCAGGACAGGACCCCCCGATGCTGCTCCCGGGGCTCCATCCCCACCCACCAGGACAGGAGCACCCCGATGCTGCTCCTGGGGGTCCCTCCGGGCTGCAGGGCTCCATCCCCACCAGGACAGGACCCCCTTGTTGCTGCTCCCGGGGCTCCATCCCCACCCAGAAGGACAGGAGCCCCCCGATGCTGCTCCCGGGGCTCCATCCCCACCCACCCGGACAGGAGCCCCCCGATGCTGCTCCCGGGGGTCCCTCTGCCAGCTCCCCGGGAGAGAGCGGGGCTGGAGCTGCTGCAGTGCAGCGCAGAGCCCCGGTCGCGGCTCTGGGTGTGCCCCGGGGGAGCAGGGACCCTCTGTGCCTGCCCCGGGGACCTGTGGCTGCCAGTGGTCCCCCAGGCCAGATGATCCCTCCGCTTCAGAGGAGGGTGTTGGGCTGCTGGATGCTCCACACCCTCCTGGGTATCCCCCTGGGCATCCCTGAGCATTCCCTGAGCATCCCCATCCTCTTCCTCACCTGGGGAGATGGGGCAGGAGGACAAGGCCTGCCAGAGAGCCAGGCACGGACCCCGCTGCACATCCAAACCTCTTCCCTTTCTCTGCACCCCATGGATCCCCAGGCAGCCCCATGGGTCCATGCACAGCCCCATGGATCCATGCACAGCCCCATAGAACCCTGAGCAGCCCCATGGATCCATGCACAGCCCCATGGATCCATGCACAGCCCCATGGGTCCATGCACAGCCCCATGGGTCCATGCACAGCCCCATGGATCCATGGACAGCCCTATAGAACCCTGGGCAGCCCCATGGATCCATGCACAGCCCCATAGGTCCCCGAGCAGTCCCATGGATCCATGCACAACCCCATGGATCTATGCACAGCCCCATAGGTCCATGCACAGCCCCATAGATCCCTGAGCAGCCCCATGGGTCCATGCACAGCCCCATGGATCCATGCACAGCCCCATAGAACCCTGGGCAGCCCCATAGGTCCATGCACAGCCCCATAGATCCCCGAGCAGCCCCATGGGTCCATGCACAGCCCCATAGAACCCTGGGCAGCCCCATAGGTCCATGCACAGCCCCATAGATCCCCAAGCAGCCCCATGGGTTCATGCACAGCCCCATGGGTCCATGCACAGCCCTATAGAACCCTGGGCAGCCCCATGGATCCATGCACAGCCCCATGGGTCCATGCACAGCCCCATGGATCCATGCACAGCCCCATGGATCCATGCACAGCCCCATAGATCCCCAAGCAGCCCCATGGGTCCATGGACAGCCCCAGGAGCCAGGGCAGAGGTCGGCCAGGGAGAGGAGCGGCCAGACACCGGCAGGAAAGCTGCAGGGAGATATGCAGTGGAGGTAGGAAGGGCGGGCACAGCTCTGGTGGGGCATTTTCTGGCATTTTCTGCCCCACGGGAGGTGGGGGATGCCTCCAGCTCGCTGAATTCCAGCCCGGAGCCAGCGGGTGCAGTCCCAGCCGGGGGATGCCACTTGTCCCATGGGATAACCTTTGGCAACTCCCTCATCTCTCAGCACCCTCCGGCACATCCTTCATCCCCAAACCTGCTCCAGGGAGGTGCTGCCATTCCGGGGGGACACAGGACACCCCAAATTTGGGGCAGGCAGGACCGGGAGGCTGCTCCATCCCCCGGCAGTGCCCTCTCCAGGCGGGCTCCGTGCGCCGGGGGGTTTGTTTATGTGTGGCCCTGGTTGGAGCGGCGATGTGCAGTGGTTAAATATAGCAGCGATGCTGTCATCCGAGTTCAGCCTGGCTGGGGAATTTATTTTCTGCAAAGGCTGCGAGGCGAACGGGCTGAGAACAGGCGTGGAAATGCCGGAGCGGGGCGATTCCCCGGGCTCACGCAAGGGCAGCGGGCACTCTGTGCCCAGTGTCGCTTTGTGATGGCACCAGGGCACAGGAGGAATGTCTGGAGGGGCTGAAATTTAAATTGAAATGTCCCTGCTGGCTCGCCGGGGCATTTAAAAGCGGTGCGGTGCCTGTGTGGCTTCAGTTCTCCATGCAGGGAAGGCATCCCCTCCTCCTCCTCCTCCAACTCTTCCTTGCTGGCGTCCCAAGGGATCAACTCCCAGCCCCATCAGATGTAAAAAAAGCAGGGAGAGAAGCAGCTGAAAGTCCAACATCTGGGAGAGAGCAGCAGCTTGTCCTACAAGGGTTGGGAGAGCCCCCAGCCCATCCCTGGGGGCTGCAGCATCAGCCCCGGGCATCCCCTGCTGCTTCCATCGCCACTTTGGATCACCCATCCCGAGGAAAAACGGGAAGAGAGGCAGATAGACAGGTCCCCTGACTTGCAAAAAAAAAAAAAAAACCACCAGGCAGATGGGGAGGGTGTTTTCCACATGCACTGTGAAAACCACGTTGCATCGGCAGTCGGAGGCACCCGCTGCGTGCTAACTCCATGTGGATGAAGCAGGAATGTGGATAAACTGGCTGCAAAAAAAAGTTTCTGAATGGAGTTATATCCTGACAGGGAAGCTTAAGAGTTAAGAGGGTGTTGCTGGAGCTGTTGAAGGGTTTAAAATCTGCTTTCTCCCGGAGAGGAACCCAGCCATGCCCGGGGCTGTCAGAGAAATCCAGCAAACAAAGGGTGAAACAGGAGATTTCTTGTTTCCCTTCGCAGAGGATCTTTCCCATTAGTCATTCCTGTCACAGGAGCTGCCAAACACGGTTATTATTTGAGGGATCTGAAAGTGAAATGGAGGCACGAGGCCGGGAGCCCTGACACCCCTGTCCCTGGGACTGGGGAGCAGGCAGGGACCCCCCAACCCCTCTGGCTCCCCCACACCTCTGCTCCACAGGCCCCTGGATTCATCCTCTGGTTGTGGGAGCCCTTTCCAAGGAATCTGGTCCCTCCCATCCCAAATCATTCCAGGATTCCAGCAGGACACGGTGGCTGTG